AACATATTTCTTTTATAGATGTGACTAGTCTGTAAAAATTGGGAAAGGATTTAAGGCCCTGGTACTAGATTCCTTCATAGAAATATTTTACTTTCTGTCGATGTGCAACATTTTCGATACACAAATGAAATTACTCTGAAAGTCTGTTTAGAGGGCTGCACCTACAGGTCGCATCTGCTACAGTTTCTTATTGTCTCAGACTACATTATTGGGCTTCTCTGTTTTTATCTCTGAATTCTATCCCATCAGAATAAATACATTCTGACACTAATTAATATTCAGGGGTCTTTGTTTGTTTATTTCTCTTTGGTTGTTCCCTTTACACTGTCTAGAAGAACGCAGGAATGAAAGAGCACAGAGATCCTTCAGCGAGTCTGCTCCTTTGACTTGCAGTGTTTTCTATCATTTACTCCATAATAAGGCACTAAGAACATGTCTTTCCTCTAAAACTTACTCATGATCCATGAAAATTTTATTTCAAATTACTTATTTAAGGGCTCAATACTGAAACAGCTATTTAGTTCAGAAGTATTGCTTTCTTTATGGGCTCTATTCCTTTTTTAGTCACTTTCATTAGTTTATGAAGTCTTTACTCTCCACAGCTTCTCTCCTAAAAAAAATAAAATAAAATCTTAAAAAAATCTTCCCCCCCGCCCCCCCCAAACTAGGATACAAATAGGAAAAACATCTTATCTTTCCAATCTTACAGATTCTGACATTAAAAATGCTCTCTTTGCTTCTAAGCATAGAGGAGGAGCTCCAATATTATATGTAACGTAAAAACTTAAACAGATGCAGCACACTAGTTGTGCAGCTATTTGTGCCTTGTTCCCTTTAAAGGGATCGTGCTAGCACAAGAGGACAGAAAAATTACTTAGTGGAGGCAACAAACAAGAGAACAGCAGAGGAAGAGCCACAGGATGATATTGTGTTGGGGAGGAGGCGGAGTTCTCTAAAGGAGGCTGTAATTATTCTGGCAAAGGAGACACTAAAGAAGAATTGCAGAAACAATGCAAATGAATGGGTGTAGAGCTTAGCTCTGCACGATGTAGACAGTACTTGAAAATTAATCTGAAAAAAATACCTTAGATCTGAGATGTTGCTTAATAAAATGTCCAAGGACTAGAGGGCTGGAGGTGATGATGTGATTTTGGAGGGAAATTTGCAGCAGTAACAGAGAAAAGAGAAGATTTAGAGCACTAGAGAATGAAGACGAGAAACCAGCAGAAACAAAACATTGTGTGGCAACAAATTAAAGAACAGCAACACATCATACACATGGAAAAGGGAAACCAAGAAGCCAAGGATGAACAAAAATGGAATACAGATTGTTACAGAGAGAACAGTCTGAGAAAGATTTGCTTACAAGAGTGAGAAATGGAAGGACTGGTAACACCTGTCAGCACCACTGAGACTAGTCAGAAAACCTTAGAGGCAAAGGGAGAAAGGACTGATGAAGAAAAAAGCTGTGTGCTAGAGGTCAAGAAGTCAGGGAAAATTGAGAGTAACCAAAATTAAGCAGGTTAGACCTTGCAGGGTTTTTGTTGTTATTGTTGTTTTTTGGTTGTTTTGGGATTTTTGGGCGGGAGGGGTAGGAAGGGAAGTGGTGGTGGTGGTGTAAATAGTGAGAAATTCTTCAGACACGCCAGGAATCTGAAAGGGCTGGATATAAAGTTTTGGCAGGGGAACATAGTGAAGTATGAACAACCAGCGTGATACAGTCATGAAGAAAACACTGCCACTATCCAGTTACCTATTTCCCATGGAAGGTGAAAGTATTAGCACCAGTTTATAAACTCTTCATGAGATCTCAGTACATTGTATGCTTCAGGGCACTTGTCCCCAAGAACAGTGAAGCAGATTCATAGAATCATAGAATCAACTAGGTTGGAAAAGAGCTTTAAGATCATCAAGTCCAACCTTTACCCCACGTTTGATCGTGTGTAGAACTGTCCTACAAGACATGCAACTGCTCTAGGCTGTGCACAAGGTAAGCAATGCAGTTTATGCCCCAATTTCTTGTTAAAAAAAAAATAATAATAAATACTTATAATAAGTAAATATTAAAAAACCCCACTACTACTGTGGCTTAGATTTTACTCGGTGGTATCTGCTTTTAAAGTGCTTCATTTTAACTTCATTATATAAAAAAAGAGTATTCCTTTTTCCAAACAGATTATTATGTATATCATACCTCTTGACTGCATTTCAGAATAGCAAAGGTTTTAATCCTTAACCTAGAGTTGTATGTTATCAGCACAAAAGCTACAGATAAAAATGTATGTATTTGACTATGAGCTACTCCCTTGTCCAATGTTCAAGCTTCTATAAAAACAAGGGTACCAGAGATATAATGAAGACTGAATTGAAACTGTTTAATGATTGAACAGAGTAAGAAAAGAAAAACTGACACTAGCCAAAGAAAACTTTTACATTACAACAATGTGTGTTCAAGGCAGAAAAATAATTTGTCAAAACATGTAAGTGAGCTAACAATTCTTATGTCGTTGAGTAATAGTTTGGATGAAATAATTAAGACATTCATCTAAAGAATGGCCCTAAATTGTTGAAATGAATGCATTAGCTGATCTATTTGATGTTAAAAATCTCCTTCTCTATAAACAAATTAAATACCCTTTAAAGTATATATTTTACAATCAGTACAAGTTCTCTATTACTTCTAAAAACTTTCATTTTAAATTAGCAACGATTATCTCCTTACAATAAAATTGTTACCTACCGCATTTAAGAAAACCAAAGACCAAGACAACTACATAAATCAGTAAGAACACAGTGTTCCACTGTCATCACAGTGAACAAGTATTAAAAAAAGGAAGCAAATGACAAACTAATGATAACCATGGACTATTATTCAATAGGTACTATAATGTATTATTTTCCTCACCTCGAACACTTTGTTCTACAGCATAAATTTGACAATGCATTTCAACTGAAACTCCCTTTCAAACGAGCTTTTTAGGGCCCCATAATACTAATTATGAAACACAAAGCTGGTAAGTGCTTTTGAGCCTAACATAAGTCTTTCATATTTTCATTTGTAGCCACCTCATTTGATAAAAATTGGCTTGTAAAATTATCAGGATGTTTACCTATTTTTAAATGTTTCTAATAAATTTTAAATAATTTTGTGAAAACATTTTAGGAAACTTAAATATGGGATTAAAAAATGTTTTCTTCAGCTGTATCCAACAAATCAGATTTTACATTTCTTTAAATGTACCTGAGGCTTCCCCATAAGGCTACTTTTGCACTTCAATTAAATAAATTTTTAAAAAGCCATAAACAGAATTTTTTTTTAATGACTGGCAAATCAAATCAGAACAGTCAGTGTGCGGATTTATACACAATTTATACACAAGCAAACAAACAAACAAAATTAACACTATGAAAAGTTTTAGAACAAAGAATATTAACTGTGGAAGGTTACAGTCTTTCTGTCATACTGTAATAAAATGATCTAGATCTTTTGACCATAGGCAAGCAGTTAATATTTATTTTGCATTACATTCTTGTATGTTTGGAAAATATGTATTTATATATACTTAATATTTTGGTTTTAATACTCACATATTTTCAATTTCCATTTGTTGTGGAAACAGTAACAGGTTGAGCCTTGGATTTAGACATCCTTTGGGTAACAACACAGCATTTTCGCTACTGAAATGGTTCAGAAAATAGATGAGCTATTACTTGCTGTGGTCTTACTGTAATTTAGATTATCTGTTAACCATTCATGTATAAACTTGTTTAACAGGTTTTGGACAAACATATGTGATAAAAGGGTATGGCATTGCTTTACCTTATTGAGTGTGGAAATTTATGTACTGATTAGGTTATTATGCTGTTTCAGCTCTATCTATGGGTTTTGAAACCAAAATAATTGCAATGTATTTAAAACATTCTCTATTTAAGAGAATAAAAAATATTTGTTACGATTTGCCAGTACATAAGGCAGCTTTCAGTAAATTAGCTGCAGGACTGACAATCACAGAATCATAGAATGGTTTGTGTTGGAAGGGACCTTAAAAAAGATCATCTAGTTCCAACTCCCCTGCCACAGGCCGGATTAAGTATGGAATGACCTCTCGTTTCAATATATTTACCACTGCACAATGCTAGCTCTTATTTTATTTTGTTCTTTGGTCCATTTTTAAATATTCACTTGCAAGTTCATATGTAAATAAATGACTGCTCAAGAAATTAAGTCAGTTAATACAAATGTGTTGCACAAAAGATGTCAAACTTTGTATCAAAGGCACAGTTGCCGATAATTAACCTAGCTTTGTGAAGGAGCTGTAGCAGCTGAAATCAAAGGGCTTGTGACTTTGGAGCAAAGGTTCACAGGCTGTGCACAGTGAAATGTTTGCTGATGGTCAATGCACATCTCACAGCTCATCTTTATTTTCAGTTGTCAGACCCCACTAACAGAATTCTTAAATGTGTCACTTCCCAGTATTAGATGTACATACATTAAGCAAAGAAGTATAAATATATACTATATCTAAATGTTATATTTAAGATCTAGACACAAAACTATAGCCTTTGATGTATTCAGTGCAGAGTTTCTCATTTATGCAATGGCAATATTGTAGGTAATGTTATAATTGTAGGTAATTTATAGAATTTAGGTGGCAAAAGGTAGCCAGGGGAAAGTTCTCTAGAGAGAAAAATAAGACAAAAGTTCTTTAGTATTTTCCCTGCATTAAACTGTAGTCTGCACTATGAACAGGTAGATAAATAGGGAGCCCAGGATGAGTTCAAATTTTGCAATGTCTTCAGCATCTGATTTTCCACCAACTGTTTTGTGAAGTGATTATGTATTTCTGCAAGATACAAATCAGTCAGTCTTTCAATCTACATACAACAGGTAGTCTTGTCTTGATTGGGTGTCTTGTCAAATTGGTTAATTAAGTCAGTACTATACCAAAATCTTGTGGAATCATATTGTGACAAGCTATCATCTTGGTTGTGTCTTTCAGAAAACACACCTGAAAAGTATTTGTCTGCAATATCAGCTGTATCTTCTTCTGAACTGCCATTTCTTTTGCCTTTTAAAGAATGAGAGGGGACTAATCATCTTCTTTCTATGGTAACTACAAAGTCAATGTTAATTATACAGTAAATATATCTTATCCATAGCAGGTGGAAACTTCCCTGTACACAAAAAATTACATCTAAAATGCAAATAAGATTCCTACAGGGTGTAAGGTAGAAATTCCGTAGTAGCAGGGGTGGAAAATTTTGAGTATAAGAGACTTTGAAATTTGTGATTTTTTTGTATGCTGAAAAAGAACTGTAGTAATTTTACATTAAGTAGCTGAACCTTTCTCTTGCATTACATTCTATAAAAATGGTCTTTTAAAAAAACACGTTGACTGCTTATACAATGTGTGACTGAAATACAATTTTCTGAATCTATATGATTTTATGATTTGTCAAATATACTTGCCCCACACATTTACATATGTATACATGTAAACAGTATATCTATAGTATCTTAGTCTCTGACTCTTTTTCAGCATAAACATGTATACCTACTGTTTAGGCTAATGGTCACTGGTTATCTTGTTCTAGTGCTTATGTACCAAAGACGGCAGCAGGTCACTGCAAATGGGCAGAAGTTCTGAAAGATTTGGAGCAGATCAAGACATCCAAAGTAAGTGCATAGAGAAGTCAGCAGTTCATATAATCATAAGAACAGACATAATTAAATCTTTAGCACTGTACTTAGCTAAGAAGTGTCAGTGACAGGGAGCAGGAAAAGGGATGGTGTTTGTCTAATGCTGTTTCATGGGTGGAAGCAAAGGACTAGAAGGGTAAAGGGAACTAAGGTTGAGCAAATACTGCATAAAATTATTTTCTTTCTCACTTTTCCTAAGAAAAGGGGGAGTGGGCTTGGGAGTTTGCTAGTTAGGAGAAAGTACTCTATTCTGATGAGTCCTCCACACAGGTTACTAGGTGACTTTAAGATACCCTGACTTGCTGGCTCCCAGTACCTGTATGGATTGGGCCTTTGTATTGAGCTAATCCATGTCTTGCAGTTAGCTTTATCATCTGTAAAATTAAGTTAATGTTCAAAATTCTAACTCTTGTTTTCTTTTAGGACATTGATGTCAGTTTATATACTGCAGACACAGATGAGGATGTAAGTAAAGTCAAAATTTGACCACAACTGGTCTAATATATTAGCTTTGTTTCTTCACCACAACTTACTCCTAAGGCAGCCTCAGTCATGTTTGAGAAAAGTTTCAGAAATCAAATAATTTGCCTTAGAAGGAACAATTCTGTTAAAGTACATATGACGAATTATGTAAGCAGGTATTATTTTTATTGAATCATCAGCTATTAAAATTAATCAATTAAAAGGGATGATCCAAAATTATCTTAAACAAACCTGCTAAAATAATGTTGGTATTCTTTCATAATTTGAGGGAGGAAAAAGTGACAAAGAAAATACTTCCAGAGATGATTATTTAATACCCTGCACTATTTTATGGAATAAAATACTGCAGAAGTGGAATATGGAGAGTGACTATCAACATCTGCCTGTGCCTTTCTCATCTTTTGCCATTCCTTAGCTTAACAGCAAATATCTAGGTACTCTCAAGGATTTAGACTTCTAGTAGTTGTAGATTATAAATTATCCTGCAAGGGACGAATTATGTTAATTTGCAAATATAATTCTTAATACAATCATAGAACCCTATGTAAAATATGATGATCTTAAATGCAGTTTCATTCCTAAAGAGACTTTTTCATAATCTGTTGCTATGGAGCTCAGTCTGCACTCCATGGGACACATGCATCCCACCAAGAAAATTAATCCAGCCAATATTCCACTCCTAGAGATCACTTTAGGCGTAGCCCTGGTGGAATTGGCTGTATTGATTACTGTGGTAGTAGCCTGCTTCTGAGACAGCACTTTCCTGACCACAAACTTTCCACACCAGAACAGTGCCGAACAGACATTACATGAATACTGTGCATAAAGAGTTAATCAAAGATTTCCTAGAAATAGTGGACTGATCACCTCAGCGCAGAATATCCTCAGTGTGTATGCACGCTGATTTATCCAGTGGATCTGGCAAGCCTGAGGAAGCATAGTCTGATGTGTCTGTACGGTTAGCCCTGTAGGTGACAGGAAAAAAAGGTCACAAAACATGCACATTTGTATCCACACACACACATTCTCTTAAAGTGAACTGAGCCAGAGGTTAATCCATTGTGATGGCTGATTTAATACTTTAAATGTCAGGAAATTTTTCTTAAAGTCAGTCAAACTGGGACTTACTCTTGGCTTTATTGTTGACTTGTGGAGAAATTAGTAGCTCTGCTGCTGCTTCTTAATTTCTCTTCTCCCCTACCTATTCTGAATTCAGATCTGTGAATGAAAGTGCTAGAACTACAAAGAATAATACTAATTTAAACTCACTATGTTTATTTATATCCCAAATTCCTAGCCTACTTAAATATTTTCCTATGTTCTTCACCAGGACACTACCTCTCACCTCATCTTAGCATATTGGCTGGCCTTTATGTTTAACAAATATGATGATCTTAACTAACGCTAACACTCTCACAGCCAATCTTTGGAGATATTTAGAAGTATTTGAACAGTGGGAAAAGATATACAGTAAATTAAAAACATCCACTTTGTGATAAATTATATCTTACATTCACTTATTTATTTTTAACTGTAAAACTTACAACTTCTTTTTTTTTCAGACAGAATGCCAAGAACCTGTAATAAGATGCTTTTTCTTAGAGACAAAAGTGATTCTTCAAGAATGTCTTATCAAAAACTGTAGTAAAACACAGGATGTATTAAACATATGGAAAAATGGAAACGCTAGCTTAGAAAATAAGGTAAGTAACACCAGCAGTCTGTGGGGGAAAAAAAAATCCAAACAAATAGTGAATGTTTCTTCAGTAGCAGAAATACCGCTTCTGTTATATAAAAAGTGAGATGGTACAGATTAAAGCAAATGAGATCCAGTAACCTGTACCTATAACAATGAAAAAGCTACACATACAACAATGGAAATGCAGAATTTAGTGTGTTTTAGAAAGACTCCCATCAAAGCAAATACTTTTGACTGTGCTTGCACACACATAACAGAGTGTTTGAATGTGTATGCATAAATAACAATTTGTAACTTCAGCATCTAAAGTTAGGCATGCTCAGGCACATACAGAAAAATATCTTAATTTTTAAAGGGACATCCACTTGTATCTCTCACTGAAATGCTGTGGTTTTGAAAGCTGATCATACCCAGAAAGCAAGCCAGGAGCTGCACACACCGTGAGTACCACAGAAGCCTCCAGCAATGCTTTCTATAGCCATTGTCTACATAGGAGTTATTCACAAGAACAGGACAAACAAGGGCTAGTTCTCTAGGAGAACAAACAGATCAGTCCCCTGCTTTACTATCACATTTTGTTTTTCAGGTGAATTCCACAACATCAGCAAAATGCAAAGAATGTGAAGAGTATGAAGAAAAAAATTTTACAGAATTTATACAGAGTTTTGTAAAGGTTATACAGAAGGAATGCAAACACTGACCAAAAGACACAAGCTAAGAACAGGATTCTTCCACAAACATCCTCAGAGAAATTAGATTATTGCCAACAATAAACTGGAAAGAATGTCACTCACAATCTTACTTACATAGCATAATATGTAAACAAAGAATAATAAAATCCCTGCATATTGAACACATACAAATTGTATTACTTATGTATTACAAATGAAAGGGATTTAACAGGGTTTAAAGCTTCTTCTTGACTTAAATGTTCTTTAATATTTGGAAAGTCCACCAAAAAAGAAATCCTGTCTAACTTATCAACCTTTGAACAAAATTCTCTAAGAAGATCTCAGGGTATCTGCAGTAGGAACCTCCTTACGAACATCAGTTCAGGGCTAACTGAATGGAGTTTCAGAGAAAAGCTCTTTTTTTTAAATTATTCTTATTCTTCTTATTATTACCATCATTATTATTATTAATCTAAAATTGTCATACCCTGTTGAAGGATTTGTCTATAGCTATTTCTGTTTTCTGAACCTTATCTGTTTACCATCTGTGCTCTTAGAAGATCCTAGCTCATTTCTCACTTCTGTTGTTAGCCATGTCTGACAAATTTTCCTTGCTATTTTTGATTTTTCTATGAATAAAGAAGATGATCAAGACTTACTTAAAAAAAAAAAAATCTACGTAGTAGAAATCCTTCCTATGTAATAGTTTGCAAATTTGGCCTCCTTTTGGAGCAAGCAGGCAGGAATCACTTTTGACCAGCTGTTGGAAATCATGGTAACTGTATACCTAAGACTCTGTAGGTCTGAAATGTTGCACAGCCTTCTTTCAACTCTTCCTAAAGTAACTGCTTTCTTCATGATTCATAATCATGTCATACCAACTGCTATCCGTAACAAGTAATTCTTTCCTCCAAGCACCTCCACTTCTCCATCTTCATTTGATAAATGGCTGAGTCATTCAGCTGTCCACTTACCAGGAAGGAAGTCTCAATCTCATTATGGCAACAAATACACTGTCTGGTACTCTCTTATGGTTGGGTTAGTCCCAGCAGTCAATCTTCAGCACTCTGAGAACCTGAATCTCCAGTAAACTACAAGAGAAAGAACATAAATGTGAGCACAGTTGATGTCACCATCCAGGTGACTTATAGGCTGATTGGTAAATTCATAAGCACATTGATATCAGCATTAAACACTGGCAGAGGTATCACAGAAGAAATAAAAAATTTATTTGCCACTGCAAAACATCAATGAAAAAGGTATTTATCACATAATTTGGGTGAAGTAAACTGATTCTACATTTTAATTTTTTCCTTAAAACACTGGTATGCAGTGAATATGATTTTCTCCTACCTGATGTCAGATGCATAGACAAGCTAATACCACGTTCCAGCTGTGGCCTTTAATCAAAGATATGCAGGGTTTTCGTTATTTCTATCTGTGAGGGAGCTTGACACACAGTTCAGCAGCATTCATGATGGGAGACATAAACATCTCCTTTGCTCACATTGTTTTCTTTATCTTGGCCATTGTGAAAATCAGTTACCTGATTAATTTTATTCTGTTTTTCATTAAATCATTTACCAGTGCAAGTATGTTAAATACTCTGAATATTGCTAAGTCTGTAGCTACTCAGCTTTCCACCCTGTTAGCCACTTTTTTGTGGACATCAGCTAAATATCTTTTATTCCATTTCACCTCTGCATCTGTTCCAGATGCATATTCTAGAACCAAAAAAGGCCATTTCCTAATCCGGTTCTCCAGTATTTCTCCTGGCTCTTTCCTTTTCCTGATAGCTAAGCTGCCAATTGAAAGTTTTACTACATCCTAACTCCTATGGTTATAAGAAATGATCTGATCAGCATAATTCATGGACTAAATTAAGGCCAGGTTGGTATCTTTTTTAGAGAAGGAGTTCAAACCTATCCCAGAGGAAAAGATTCTATATGACTAAGACATGCATGAGTCTCATCTGACTTGTTAGTACTTCAGGCAGAACAGTAAAAACTAATTCAGGGTGCCTACTTTTGAGGTAAACATCCCTAGGTTAAAGGAAGGTGTTTCTTCACACGAAGTCTAGTCATTTTTGCAATTCTTTGTGGCATTTACTATCTATTCTTTTCCAGCTGCTGTTAGTAAATGTTAAGAAAAGATTAATACTCAGTTTGGGATGAAGGTGACTCATAGCAGTGTTTTTATGGTCAGAAAGAAAAATAGCTTCATCTTTTGACACCAGAAGAGAAGAATAATGCTCTTCCACACAAGTTTGGAACTACATAATTCTGTGTTCCTGACTTCGAAATAATTTAAAATCTATTTTTCCTTTCCTTTCCTGGTGTTCAGTATCTATATTTCTGTCTATATTTTAACTGGATAATATCTGACATCCTCTACCTTCCTGTTGTTTTGTTACACCCTGAAGATCAATACTGGTAGCTCATCAATAGAATGTCTCTGGTGTCTTTGAATATTTGAGCACCTGTTGATCAGGTACCATGCAGATAATTTCACAGGAGATTTTGAAAGTTCTCACAGTTTAAAGTCAGTTCTAGATCAGCATCAGTATATTTATACTAGGACTATTAGCTATAATACCTCCCTCCTAAGACATGTAAGAAAATTTAACCAATAATTTCTGCAGTCCAGATTTTCTTTCAAGCAGTCCATCTATGCTGCATGATCAATAGGTTTCAGTTTCCACAATATCCAACTGTCTTTTACAACTACAGGACACACTATGGATTATCAATTTCTTTTCCTTTGTAGACATTTTGACCTTAAAAGTAGCATCTGCCAGTCTCCCCCCCAATTTTTTAAGCCACTTATGTGGATGCATAAGCCTGTAAAAAATTAATCACTGCCTGGTGTAGTGGTGTATTTGTCCCTTCTTTAACCAAGGAGATTTTAATGAGTGAGATGCCCTCAGTGAGAAGCCAGCAGCCATGGGAACCTTAAGAGCAAGGAAATGGCAGGCTAATAGAGACCTGCAGGTCTATAGCTGGTGGTCTGTTTTACCCAGGAGGAAACAGGTAACTCCTCATTTGACTTGAGTGATAGCATGAGTGTTTTCATCTTTCCTCCATTCAAATCCCTTTTCAAGGGACCAATATTAGTGTTCAGTGATGCTAGGTCATTTGGAAATGAGAACTTTGTGAAAGCCAGAATCGTTAATGGTAGTGGAAAAAGGCAAACTCTGAACTGCAGCAAACTCTTTTGTCGGGAGCTTCACTGTTTTGCGGAAAATATATAAAAAAGAGGATTCTTTGTCTGCAGTGAAGTAGCTGTAGGCTCAGGAGAAATTTCAGATTATCTGTCTTGTTCATATGGCTATGCGAGGAAAATAATAGAAATATATGTTAGGAGATATTTTGGCAAAAGCTCAGAAAGACATTTGAATCAGTACCCATGTTCAGTGGCAACACTTACAAAGGGGGGCAAACACTGTGTTTGTTATATATATATATCAGTACATACATATATATATCAGTAGCTAAGGCAGTGTTTCAGCTGCTTCACCCCTTCAACCAAACGTCCAGATCCAAAGTTTAATAGAATCCAAGGATGGCAGCTACTCTAGAAGCCAGTACAGTGTATGTTGATTTAATCTCCTGAATGCAACAGCCTGCTCTTCCTTCAATTCTTTTCCTGCTGTAGCTTTCTAAACAGGCCCAAGAGAGATTTCAATAGAGATTCAGTTGGGGGTTTTTTATAAGAAGTCTAGTTCAGCACCTCAGAAATAGTGATATTGTTACATGCCTTAACAGAAAATGTCACTGAGTTACCATTGCCTGGATGTTTTGACAGTTATATTTTTGAGTACCAAAGAACTGTTCAATTTTTCAGTACTTCTGCTTCTAAGTAGTAATACTAGACATACAGGTGCAGCAGATAATAGGGATTCAAGTGGCTGCACTGGAGCAATAACATTAACCTCCTTTCACACCAGAGGACCAGTGAATGTTTCCAGAAGTATCATCTACTTTGCAAAGCGAGTTAAAGGACATTTGCATTTACACAGAAAATTACTGCTCAGTAGTTTACGGCCTCCAGGAAAACTGACTAGGACAGAGGTGCGTTGCAAATTAGCTCTCCTACGACACATAGCACTAGATAATCACATCACTACCCATGCCAAGTACATAAATGACATGTACAATTGCTGGCCATCTCATATGTATAGATAGCTGCATCATAGATGCTGTGGTTTTACTGTCCACTAAACCCAAACTAAGTGCCCTGTCTTCCTTGTGAACCTCTTTCCCTGCCTGCCATTCTTTCCTACTTTAATGTGGGCAACACCACAAAAGGATGGAGCTATTAATATCTTGTTGCATTTCTCATAGGAAAAATATGGAAAAATATAGAGGAACAGTATTAAAATAATATAATCTAAAATTAGCCTAGCTAGAATTATCAATAACTCCAGTACCATAATATTTGCTTTTCTCACAGTTATACTCAAAGGTGACTGAGCTGCCAACTGCTTCCTTGTAGCATCAGAAAGACAGGAAATAGGGAACATCCACTACAGGACTGAAAGCAAACAGAAGGAAGGAAAAGAAGTGAAAGCCACCTTAAATGATAACAGTGAAAACAAAATTATTCCAACTCACTGGGAATGTATTGCATCAGTTTTTTCTGAGTAGCAGAATTTAGCAAGGGACTGGATGGAAAGAAAGATATGCCTGCAATTTCAAAGTTAAATAGTAAATTTCAAAGAGTCCTCTCAGCTGCAGTCAAATCATTCATGTCTTCCCTCTATCAAGGACCAAAGCGGCCTTTCAGAAGACTTTGGAAATTTCCATCCTGAGTCCCTGAGCCAAGGTGATGATGGGATGTCTTGGCAGGAGGATTAAGAATGTGATAATGAACTAGCTGCTTAGAACAAATGGATGAAGCCAAAGCAAGAGACACAAACTTCGTTGTCTCCTTAAGTCAGTATTGCTGTTCTTAAGAATAGAAATAGCATTAAATTTTATCCAATGTGGCCTTCACTTGCAGCTCATCCATATGAAGATGTACCTTACTA